GTTGGGTATCCCTCGGAATAGACCCAAATAGTACCCTCAAGCAAAGGCCGAGCCAAATTGCAGCGTGAAGGCGTGATATGTTGGAATCGAACCGGAGGTTGATTTCGTCTTGGGTCAACATCTGTCCACTGACGTGGAACCTGACTAGGTCCTGGTTCGGGGCCCTTTGGTGGGTTCCTTGGCGTCTCAGCGCGAGGCTCATGCTGCTCACGCTGCTGAGCTGCAGTGCACTGGGGTGATTTCCGGGTAACCGAGCGGGTCGCAGCCCGGATTGAATTGTTTTTGTGTTAACAGCTTTTGTTTTTTTCCCTTTCCAGCGGGCTGCAGCCCGGTGAAACCGCGCCGGCACGCGCTTCAGGCGTGCCGGCGCATGCTGCCGCGCAATCAAATGGCACTCGTTTGCCACTGGCCATGGGAGGAAGAGTGCTTGTGTGTCATAACAATTCGATACGCCCCAAGGGAGTGGTGCATTCCGCTTTGCGTTGAACCGGCGCGCACTTTCCCTTCCTTGACCCGCTTTTCCGCGCGGACGGTGCTTATAAGTTTTGCCATTGATGCTTTAGTGCAGGTTAATTCGAAGGCTTAGATAGCCTTAGTTCGGGCAGCCGAGCTTGCGGTTTGAGGTGTTTTGCAGAGCGAGCATGCCAAACCAAAGTGGAACGCACATATTCGTAAATTGCAGGGACCGCTCGTCTTTATGTCGGTGCATGGAAGCCGGCCCGTGCAGCGTTGCAAGATCAAGGAGTCAGAATCAGTAGATGGTCCACAGCTTTTTTCTTGCAGACTCTCATGCAACTCGGAGTGTTTTTACATTTGGTTGACTAGTAGCTCTTGAGCCATGAAACGGCCGGGAGGTGAGGCACTGAGGTGTTGTCTTTTACGACTCGCGACAAAGCTTGACCTCACTGGTAAGGTCGCTGTCTGCTCTTGCTCGGAGCTGGCCTCGGAAACCCGAGATGGCCGGGATCAGGGTTCCATCTTTTTGACTACCTGCGACTAGACGTAAGCCCAGGAGTTCCCCGTTTGGGGTACCCTGGGAATTTAAGTCACGGGAGTCAAAACGGGAGCCCTGGCCGTGCTTGTCCAAGGCCTTTTGCTGGGGTATGGCAGGCCTCGCGTGATCACGGAGCCCAGCCTCGAGGCCACTGGCAAGTCTCTGACGCCTGAGGCCCACACACCGCTTCACAGCCTTCGCCGGGTGGTTTGCTCCTGCCGGGCGAGACGTGACCGCGAGAAATGCGGGCGACGATGAGGCCGGCACGCGTGGCACTTCAGTGAAACCTTGGGGCCAAGCCTTGGGGTTCCGAGGTGGCAGCCTTGCTCGCCCAAGCACAGGCGCTTCGCGAGGAGGTTCAGCGCGAAGAGGCCACTCGAGAAAGAACTCTGCCCATTTCCACTGAGAATGCTATGAGTTCCCAGGACGCCATGAGGGCCAGGCGCGCGGAGGAGCAGGCGGCGGAGGCGGAGGCGGAGGTGGAGGTGGAGGAGGCGGCGCCTTCTCCAGTGCCGGGGGAGGACCCCGTGGTCGCCAAAGCGCGGGCGGAGCTGGCGGCGGCGAAAGCCGCCTTGGAGGCGGCCAAGCGCGAGGCCGTGCCTATTCCCGGGGGGGGGGGGGGAAGGAGGCGGCAGGAGGGAAAGCGAATTGACAAATGGCTGGCTCGTCGGGTGTCTCTTTTGGTTTCCCTTTGAACCACCCTGAAAAAGGCGCCCTCGCAAAACCACACCCAGACCTTCCCCTTTGGCTCGCAGGCGGGCAGTCCAGGCACGGCGCCGAAGCCGGCGGCGGCCGCGGCCCCGACGCCAGCACCAGCCACCACAGCGCTGGAGGACGTGCAGCTGAACTTCAGTGGCCAAGTGATGACGGAGGCGGGCAGAAGTTGTTGCCTTGGGTGCCAAAGTTGACGAGGGGGCCCGTTGGTTGGACATCAACATTCTGGTGACTGAAGTGGTTCCAACTCTGAAGATGGACCTGTTGGTTGGACATCAACATTGGGGGTTTGTGTGGCGCCAACCACTGAGGCGGTTCCAGCTCTGAAGATTCATAGTCGTATAGGGGTTGCTCAAAATGGTGAAGCCTTTTTTATATAACTTTATTGAACACCAAAAGGGATCACCTGCGGTGGGAACACCCCATGCGGGCATTGCAGGCAGAATGGAAGGACTTGGCCGAGAAGTTCTTGGATGCTGAAGTCAGCACAGAGCGTGTTTTCCATGCTTTTTGTCAGGTCCTCTAGAAGGGTATGAAGATTGGGAGCCCTTTGGTGAAGCTTGTTTAGGTTGGGATTTTTGTCCATCAACTCATTAAATTCAACCGATACGTAGTTGTGCCGCTCAAGGCTTGAACTACTTTGAAAGTCAAATCTGCAAAAGATGCAGAAGAGGCGTGCTGTGTAGCTTTCAATGATGAATCTCAATTCAGTTTTGAGTTTAAACCCTCAGAGAGCGTGGGATGATTTTGTTTGACTCCATTCTGCCAGGCTTTGTTCTGACCTTCTGCAATTTCGTTCGCGTAGTTTTTTCTAGGGTACTGGGATTTAGCAGAGATCGGATTGCTTAGGACATGAACCTCGTAGAACAGTTCCAGACGAACTCCCGTGTCGGCCCACAGGCGCTGGCAATGTGGGCGTGTGCCTTTGTTTTGGCCTGTACCCTTTGTGCAGTAATCATTTCAGCAGCTTAAAGGGAAGCCAGTTGCACAACATGCCATACAAACAATACTAGTCATGATAATAATAATAATATGAATAGTAGTATGGATAATGATATTACAAAAAAATAGCAATAAGAGTAATGACAACACAATCACAACAACAACAACAACAGTAACAACAATAATTGTAGCAACAGCAACAACAGCAGCAACAGCAACAACAGCAGCAACAACAACAGCAACAACAACAACAACAACAGCAGCAGCAGCAGCAACAACAACACCACCACCAACAACAACACCAGCAGCAGCAGCAGCAGCAGCAGCAACAACAACAGCGGCAGCAACAACAACAACAAATTCTAGTACTAATACTAGTACTAATACTAATGCTAATGCTAATGTGAATACTAATGATAGTAATGATAACAATGGTAAGAATAATATTGATAATAACAATAACAATATCAACAGCAATAATAGTATCAGCAGCAACAGCAACAACAATGATCATAATCGATAAACACTACAACCATAGTAGTCATATTAAGAAGGATAATCATACTAATATTCATACTGTTAATAATTCTACCTGATAATGACAATGACAATAATAGTAATGGTAATGGGAATAACATTACTAATAAACAATAGTATCAATATTACTAATAACACAACATGTGACAACAACACTACATGAATATAATCATAATGATAAGGGTAATAACAGTAGTAATACTCATAATACAAATAAAACATCATAGTCATAATACTAATAGTAATAATATTTATATAAAAGGATCATCATAATGAACAATACTAATAATTGCAATCATACATAAACACATACATACAACTAATAGCAATAATGATAACACTCATATTCATGACAACAATCATAGCCATAGTGATGCATATTTAGATTTAGGTTTGTTTCGGGGTACGGGGTTGCCAACGAAAGCATCTCACGTTGGAGAGCAAGACCGTGGAAACTACTAATGTTACTCACACCGCTTTTTGAGTATGACCATGATATATTTGTACCAAACATGCACTGGAGATGCTGGGGGTGACCGTTTCTGAGTGGAAAAGCACCTCTTCTACCAAAACAGTTTCTGAGGATGGTCCCTGTACAGCCAAACACCATTAGTATCTTGGACGAAGCACTCGAACAGCGTCGTATTTTCGCTTCCTGCATCACCACCAGGGCCTCTTGTGTACCGGGTATTTGAGCCAGGCTTATTCCCACTGATGATCTAATCATCAGCACAAAAAGTGTTTGATGCTGTTGACTCATATACTCATGATTTATTGATCAATAACAAGGATTTGTTGCCAGCCTTCGCGTACGCCTCCCTTTTGGCAAGAAGGGGAGACCCGCGGATTCTTTTTTGGGCCGTCGCATGTAGAGACCCACTTGACACCAGCGTTGCCAAGTCCGGCTCTCATGCAGCATCAGCGTGCCTCGGCTGCTGGACTTGGGAAGTTGGTTTTGATGTCTTCCTGATGAGTTTTGAAGGACATACTGCATGCTGCCTGGGGCAAGATTGGTCCAGTGCTGCAAGGATTGGTGGTGCCTGAGCTGTGTTGCATGCCATTGGATCAAGGCAAGCTAACATGAAAACAGGAGCAGAATGGATCACGGGAAAGCCCACAAGCCACTGTAAAAACCTTTGAGGCACGAATGCTGACATGGACAAACAGCAATTCTCCTCGGTGTGCATGAGCAGCCGGCATGGCAGATGAAGTGATGCTAATTGAGGCTGTGAGCGCTTGCCTCAGGGTTGTGCTTGCTTGCCACTAACATGGAGCTGGGTGAACATGGAGCTGGCTGACCTTGATCCCCGCCGATTTTTTTTTCGTCCACCAAAGGGTCTCCAATGGTGGCCATGCGATTTTCCAGCGGAAGCAGGAACAACAAACAGTGGGAGGGTTTTTCAGGGGGACGCCCATCCCCGGGCTCGGGCAGCACGGCAGTGCAGTGATAGCATGGCACTCCTCAGGTTGGGCAGAGATGTCAGCCAAATCTGCCCACAGCTACTGCGGGGAAGCTGGCTGAGGGGGTTTCATGCAGGATGTTCGCAGGAATTCAATCATTAAAACCAACTTGGTGGAAGTTCATTTGGGTGTGGGTCAAAATCAAACCAACAGGGACCCCAGGTTTTGGTCCATGGTTCCACTTACCAGGGTTCCGTTTTGGTACCGGTTTTTTGACCCACAGCCATTTCTTGTGGCATTTTATCAATCGTGTCTGAGCACCAAGCAGTTCTCTGAAGACATTTGTCCTGAGGTGACAAGTTTGTACACCCATTGGGTGCATCTTGTCCCCCGCGTTCGCATGCAGATACTCATGGCTGCTTGGCATTGAGGATTGAGGGGTTCTCGTGACCTCATGGCGGATCGTCTGAGGCTGGCGTTTGCATCTCCAATTACCTGCTCCGCACCTGTTTAGGCGGGTGCTGGTGACTTGTGCCGTGGGCGGATTGCTTTTTTCCCTGAGGAACTTGTGCGGCAGCTTGGCGCACCCTGGTCGGACGGCTTTGTCTCGAAATTAGGGCACCCCGAAACCTTTTGGGTTACCCCACCAACTCAAAAAGGGTACCGGCCAAAAAGAAGACTCATCTTCTGCCCCACCCCCCCGCCAAGACTTCATGCGTTCCGCGGCACTGAGGTCTTAATGGTGCAAGAGTATCAATGGGGCATCGAATTCAAGGCAGGGTGCTGACCGGAACTCGGAACTGGAGCCCGCCACCCTCTCCATGTGAAGTGACGTCAGGGAATGCTGCTGGGCGCCTTCTTCTGGGGCTATCTTGCGGGGAACCTCTTTGCAGGCTGGATGGGCGTTTTGGGAGTGCCCTGTTTTGGGGCGTCCCACACCAAAAAGTCTCCTCAAATCAAGCCACTCGAAATGGAATGACTGAGCTATGATTTCCCTTGCTTTCCTCCAACGTGTGAACATAGGAGCCCCAAAATGGGAAACAAACACCAAGGCGCACTTTCTTGCATAGGTCATGAGTGTAATTATGCCCTTCCCCCCCCCCCCCCCCGCCCGCCCATTCCATGGAGGGCACATGGGCGCATGGCTTCCTTGTTCGATTTCCCCCAAAAAGGCGCCTCGGCGGTTGAGTCATTGAGGCGCGGTGGCCGCACGCGTGGGGGCTGCTCTGGTGCTGGCCTGCGCGGCCATCAGTTGGAGCGCCTTCGCCATCGCCGTGCCGCCGCGCGGTTTGGAAGGGAAACACCGGGATCCGGGCGGTTGGGGGTTGGGAGGTTGGGGTGTTAGGGGGGTTGGGGGGGAGTCTTGGAGTTTTGTGCGGGTGGTTGTAGGTGGGTGTGGTGAAAGGTCAGTGGTCCCGTTCTGGTGATACCAAGAAGATCCCTTTGAAAGAGACAAGGTAGTCCTGGGAGAAAGTGCCACTGTATGTCCACTTCCTCTCATCTTTCAGAGGTCTCTGTGAGCTTTGGGTTGTGTGGTTTAAAGGCTCAGTGCCCTTTCCGGGTTGGTTTGGGGGATCTCAACAAGCATTGTGTTTTTTTGGGGGTTCCCGACTTTGACACAACAATTTTTTATAGAGCAGCATTAGCAATACCGATAGAGTCTTCCTTGAAATTGCAAAAGCCTCGCGCTGCCTATTTGATTTAGAGGCTTCCTTTGCTCCAGGCCCAGGCGTGGGGAAGGCAGGGGAGCAGGCAAGAAATGACGTTCATGCCTCCCATGCGTGAAAGTATCAGCTGCAGCCGCAGCCGCAGGCGTACTCCAAGGGGCAAGGCTGGGGCTAGGTGGCTTTCCGGGTACAGCCACAGTCTGGGGGCACATGAGTGCGTGGCGCGGCTTGGCTGTAGCCTGACACCCAGAGCTACAGCCAAAGTGCAAGCCCAAGAATTGAGCGATGCTTGGCAAGGGGGGGCTAGGGGCGGCGTAAGCTTCAAGAACGTGGGAGGGGACTTGCTTCAGCGCAGCTGGGAGCACGGGTTGGGGATGGGGAAGAGAGGAGATCTGACCGCTTCCGCAAGTGAAGATGGTCATAGTTGCAGGTTGGCACCTTCCTTCCACTTCAATTGCCATTTGTTTCCACTTTCAACACTAAGGCAGTTTTAAGGCCAAATTCCAGCAGTTTCGTTTGAGGGCGATCTGGGGCACGGGGACTTTGCCTACAACTCACTCATTTCCTCATAGACCCCGACTGCTGAGGCTGGTGTCAGACCTGGGGTTCTGGCACACCTGGCTGCTCTTGGCCTTGCTAGGGCTGGCCGAGTCTCCAGTCATGCCCACCACTATGCAGTTGCTGTCGGCATACGTTCCAGCTCCTTGGTTGAATTTGTTGGCTCAGTACTCATCGAAGTATTTCTTACAAGGGGAAGTCAGGAAAATAGCAACAACTTCCCTTCTGGTTAACTCTTTTTGGCCCCCCAAGTAAAAAACAAGAAGATGCCCCTTAAAAGAAAGAGACGCTCGTTCTTGGGTTGCTAAAGCTTCAAAAATAAACCACACATTTTTGAAATCCCCCTTGCAAGACACACCCGTATCGAGCTGGTGCGCATAACCATCTTCTGTTTCGTGAAGCGACGCTATCCACGAGATCTTACCAGAACAAGTTGCATCCGCTTCGGATCAGCTGTTCTCCAAGGCATCCACAAACACCTTTCACGTTACCCTTAGTTGGTGGTTTGGCTTTGTGGTTTGGGGATTTGCACCTTTGGCCTTTGTAGAGGGTATATGACCAACCACCTCCCAACCTCCCAACCACCAATCCAAACTTATCAGAGGGAAGCTTTTAATTTGGAACTTGTAGAGGGCAATGACAAACCACCCTCTAACCTCCAACCACCAATCCAAACCACCCGGAGGG